CCACTTGAAGGTACACTGAGCTGTGCTTAGCAGTAACTTAGGATAAAGTGAGTTTAAAAAAGGAACTTTAAAAAACCCTCTCCCAACATTCAAAATAAAGTGTTTTGAAAGTCTCAGTAGAGAAACAGTGACTTCTTAATGAGTGACATAATGATCAAATTGTTCCTCCACCTTCAGGGCAGTGCTGAGGGCATTACAGAGTAAAATGCAGGACTGTAATCGTAGGTGGTAGGTGGCTAGCAATCTCACATCAGAAAGGGTGCAGACAAAGGTACACTGTTCTGCAGGAGAGGTTGCAGCACAGTGGAAAAACCCAGGCCTGCCCAGGAGGGTTTGCTGCTTACTGAGACATGGAGAACTTCCTCAGGTGTGAGCATTTGCTCTGAGTGCCTCTCCCACAGCAGAGGCCCTGCCTGCTGCAGCTCGGTATTTTTTGCTCCATTTAACTAAGGGCAGGCAAGATAATTGGTTTGCCTCTTTAATGTTCCTGCTGGTTTGTGTCACACCATCAGCCGTCCGTGGCAGGATGCAGTGTGTTTTCGCGTGGATCACGAAACCCTTATGTAACTCTGCGCTTACCTCTGACCAGTTGGGTTTGGTTTTCTCTGGTGTTTGCTTTTTGGTGAGAGATGTCTCCATCTTGTCACAAGAAGCTTGAGGCCAAAGTTCTGTATTTTGATTTTGCTGTTCACTCCCATGACTGGGAGGCTTTCCCCTTGCAGCTCTAAGGCGAATTGGCTTTCCACTCTTTATCCCTCCTGAAGGCTAGGCAGGGGCCACCAAATGGCAGCAGGGCCTTGGGGGAAGAAGTAGTGCTGCATGTGTCAGCAGATGACAGACAGTGTGATAAATCCTGTGCACTGTGTCCTTCATGGCACGGCCAGTTGTTTCTTTATAGTGGATACTGGTGATGAGGAACTGTCTGTGGGAGGAGGGCTTCCCCCCCCCCGCCCTTGATCCACATGCAGGGGTTTGTGCTGGAACAGGATGTGTAGTTTCATGGGTTTTTTATTTGTTTTGCTGCCTTGGCATTTAGTAACTAGGTTCATCACAAGTTGTGACTTTGGAGAGGGGCAGTGTTTGGTATCTGAGAATGGCAGGGCCCAAGGGTATGTCCCTGTAGAGGCAGTCCTTACCAGCAGAGACCCTGTTGCCTGCAAGAATAGCACAAAGGTAAAGTAAGGAGGTGACAGTTGCAAGGTGCAATCATTTTGACTCATAAGGGGGAGAGCTGCTGGGGTGTGCAGCTTTGAGGTTACTGACACATGCAGGCATAGCTTAAGCCAGTGTTCTGATGTGAGGGCACTGGGAAGCCCTGGGGACAGCAGCCTGCCCACCTGCGAGCACTAAGTCACAATAAGCAGGCCCCTCTGAGCCACCCTTGTCTCAGGGGAGGGATTGGAATGGACTAGCTGTCATGTGTGGTGAAAATGAGGGAAGCAGAGATGAGGACAGGGAAGGGACTAGTGTTTGGCTTAGACAGGGGCTGGGAAAGGGGAAGAAAGGCATTTATTGTTTTGTTCTTCTGTGTTCTTTCTTTCCTCCTCTACCTGAATTGATGAAATGAAGTCTGTGTTAATGGGAGATCAATCAGCTTAGATTGCCCTCAGATGAGACTGTTTTGCTTGGGACTGTAGCTGTTGGAGAATGTGTGTGACACCCAGCCGTTTCACGGCACAGAACTGGAGTAATGAGAAGGACTCCAAAAGAAGCCATGATCCTGATCCTGGGAATACATTATGGTGGAAGTGGCACAGCCTGTGTGTGTCCAGGGGTGAGTGCATACGGTGCATAAATAGCTGGAGAAAGAAGGGACCTGGGGAAGCCATTGCTGAGTGGGAAGGTGACTGGGAAGAGAGAGAGGTGCTTCCTCCAAGTTAGTGCACCAGTGGCCTGGTATAGCACTGCCTCCACATGTAGGATCCAAAAGCACTGGCTGGGGAGCTGCAGAGGGGTTGGCTGTGAAACAGGGAGGAAGGGTGTGCTGCTGTGGTGTGGCTGTGTGCTGAGCTTGCCGTGTGCTTCAAATGGGCTTCAGAGAGACCAGGATTGCTTAGCAGAGCAGGGGAGTCATCCTACTGACCTTTGTTGGAGTAATGTGCATTAACAAGTGCTCAGGGTTAAGGGTAAGCCATTGATCAGAAGTGAGCAATAGTGCTGAATCGGCCAGGTGGAAAGCTATGTGCCAGGCAGGCCAGGCTGCAGTTGTAGGAGCAGCAAGTGGTCTTAAAGGGATTGGCTCAGAGGGACACCCTGGCACGTCTGGGAAGAAACTGAGGACTGATGGCAAAGTAAAAACAAAGCCCTTCCAGGCAGCCTGAGTTGCAGTTAAGTAGACCTGTCTACTTAACTTAAGTAGACCTGTGGAGGTGGAGGGCTGCTCCCCAGAGTGAGAGCGCTCTCATGACAGTCCTTTGCTCGGAATGACCTTACAGAAATGCTGAACCCTAGCCACAACTGTAGTGGCTGTGGCAGTGCTGGGAAGCTGCAGCAAATGTGATGTACCTTCTGCCTTGGAAGAGCAGAGTTCTGGGGAGTTTAGGCTCTATGTTATTTGCAAGCACTGCCCTGCACAAAGGAGGAAGGCTTTAACAATCTGCCTGTGAAGGACTGTGTGGAGCAATGGCCCGATCCTGCTGATCCCACAGATGAGACACCCCCACAGAGGGTCTGGGAAGAAGGAGGTAACTGATTAAAATTACTTGGGCTGCTGGATTGTGTTTACAGGCGAGGGGGAAGGAATGACAAAGTGGTGATCACTGATGCCATGACTGAAAGCTCCAAGGTGTGAGCACAGTTACTGCTGCCCCTCTGGTATTGCCTGATAAACTGGTGGGACGTCAGGGAGTGACTTACATGTATTGTACTGGAGGGAGCATGCCACAAGACAGGCAGGAGATTGGCAGCATGGCCAAGGATAATGCTGGGAGTCCAGTAGTATGGTTAACCTTGGAAAAAGTTTTAAAAGGGATTGGAAAGCACATTGAGAATGTTGCAGTGTTGATCCTGATAATTCTGTCTGCTGGGAAGGAGTGGGTTTATGATGTGGGTTATGTTCACATTGGTGAGATGTTAACTGGTCTGCAGGGACAAGGGACTGAGTCTATAATGAATATACATTAAGATTGTGATGACGTTAAAGGTAGCTTTTATATAACGGTGAAACAATTCTTAATTTATTTTTCAGTGGCGTGAAGGTTGGAATGCAAAGGGCATAAATTGCAGTGGGTGTCAGAGAGTGGTGGTGGTGACCTGTCTGTAGACCATGAACTGCTCAGTGCCAGACAGAACCAATTCCAGCTGCCTCTGAAATTGCAAGAATTTAAGCCCATGGTGCCCTGGCTCTGGCACACTGTTGGAAGGAGGTCCATGATGAAGAGGGGGGTGCAGCTGGAGGATGAGCTATGCTGGAGCAAGGAAACCGCCTGAAGGCACTGTGGGCACTGGGTGACCCGTGCTGGAGAAGGGAAAGGACAGTGGTCTAAACCTTTGGCTCTTCCTGCACCATAGCAAACATGGCACCTTTATGATTCAATAAAAATGTGTATTCGGTCTCAGCAGAGCTGTGTTGCCTCAGCCTGGGGATCACTGAGGGTTTCATGGATTGCTTCCTTCAGGAAGCTGCAAAACCTAAGTTCTTGTGTTATGTGTTCATTAACTGAAAGTGAAATTTTCAGAAAGAAGGTGCTAAGATGCCTCTTTTATTGAACAAAGGTTTTACTATTTTCCCATGAAACCCAGTGTGCCACCTTATGAGTTTGGTCCCTTGCCCAGTAGGAAGGAACAGACGGGTGACACAGCCATGGAAGCAAACACCTCCTCATTTCACCTGGTGTTGCTAAAGGAAGCTGGCAGGGCGGTTTGGGCCCAGCACCGAGGGTCAGAGCCTCCCCTGACAGGGGAGCAGATACCCAGGTTGTGGGGCATCTGAAATGTCCCCCGGCTGGGGGGCTGAGGGCTGGTGGCAACGCGGGTCTTCTCTTCTCTGAGGCCTGGCTGCCCTCTGCTGCCCGCAGGGGAAAGTGCCTGGTGGCTGCGTTGTCCTGTGGAGCATCTGTTCTCTGTTGTCACAGGACAGACGGTGCATGAGGTCGAGACTAAAACGAGCAAGCTGGGTCTGAACCAAGGGCAGGCTCCACCATGGGTGTAGTGGGTCTGCTGAAGCCTGCTGTCTTTGTTCAGCCCAAATCTCCCTTGGCTGTGACTAGAGCTTAGATGTTGGCCTTTGGGAGAGTACTAAAGTTAGGGGAGATTCCGCAGCAGAGAGATTTTAGCAGCTGTCTGTGACTTAGGTGTTCTTTGTGAGTTTCATAATTTAAGGGATCAAATGACTTAATTTCAGACATTTTTCAGGCTCTCAGCATTCTAGATAATATTTAGATGCAAAACCTCTGTATATATAGTATTCATAACTTAAAGGTTTGGAAAAAAAGTGAATTGAATGCTGTCACTTTCATGCTCATTGCACAGGAGCTCTTGTTTCTGTTAAAGCTGAAAATAGTTGCCATATCCTCTTTAGTCAATTTGAACTCAAGCACCTAACAAGGGAAACAGCTGGAAATCACCTCTTTGAACAAACCAGAGACTGAAAGCGAAGTCCACAAAATTAAAGAACAAGTCTACAAGGCAGAGGAGCTGGTTAGAAATTACTGCTTCATGAAGGAGGGAAAGCCATCTCTATTTCCAAGAATTCACTGGCAGAGGGAATGACTATTCAAAGTTGCAATTCACATGCCAGCCACTGCAGGACGCTTGGTGAGCGATTAGCATTATCTCTACTGCTTGTGAAGGGCGCATCTATTCGGCCTGTTCTTAGGGAACATCTACAAAACTTTTATATTTCACTTAATTCAGCTAAGACTTTCAAAATCCTGATGACCAGTTTCAGTCAAGGACAACAGAATTAACAATGGAGCAACATGTATTATGGACACCAGGATTTTTTTCCTTCCCACCTGGACTTTTTATCAAGGTTTTATTCTCTTCAAGTGGACTTGGGATGGCAAGACTGAAGCATGACAGCATCAGAAGATGGGTCAAGACCAGGGGTCTTCTCTGGGCAGAAGGTCTGTATTTTGCTTTGCTGTTTCTGCCTGTTGGTGTGACACTTTTCCTGGATCATGCCAAGACACAGGAGGTGTCACTTGTTTCTCTGTTCTGAAGGCGTAGCTGGGGTTGTCAAATGAGGGTAGGACCTTCGGGAAAGAAACACCACGTGTCAGCGGATGAGAAATAGGCTGGGAAGTACTGCAAAATGCCCAAGAGTTCCTTGCATGAGATGAGGAACTATATGTGCAGAATGGCCTGATTTGACTGTGTGTGAAGGTTTGCACTGAAGCTGGATACTTATTGCAGTTCTTTTCAGTTTTGTTGTATTGGCATTTGCATGTAATAATTCTAATTCATCAAAAATCATAGCCTCAAGAGATGAGCACTATTTGGCATCTGAGAAGAACCAGACTCAAAATGATGAAAGTGGGTAGGTCCCAGTGAAACAGTCTTTACCAGTAGGAAGGCTGCCTGGTTTGCTCCTGGACTGTAATGACAGAGAAGTTCAAGGCTTCTCTAAGGGTGGTTGCCCCTGCTACCAGTAGAGAAAAGCACTGCATGATTTTATTGGTGGGAATTGTCCCAGGAAGGGTTCATGTCCATTAAATGCAGGTGATTACAGCTGACTTCACCTGTGTTCACAGGCGAGGGAGAAAGTGCATGAGGTCTGGAGAGCCTAAGTAGCAAGATGGGTCAGAGCTAAGAGCAGTCCTGGACCCAGGCATAATGAATCATACTGAATGCTGCTGCCTTGTTTTGCTCAAACATCTCAGATATGAGTGGAACTTAGATGTTGGCCCTGGGGTGCCACATGCTGTGGACACCTAAAGTTAGATGAGGTGAATTCCCCCAGAAAGACTGCTGCATCTGACCCAGGAGTAAAAGACAAGTATGGTCAGCACAGAGCCTTTCAAATGTGGAAATATGTTAGTCCCCCCGCCCTATCAGTAGCTCGCAAACACACCAAAAACAAAGCGGGAAGTACTGCCCCCTGATTCTTTTGTTTGACTGTAAGTACTAATTAGCAGTAAGATTACTGCTCTAATACTTCTTCCATGGTTTTTTGCCTTATCTTGCAGTTGCATTATACATTCTTTTGGAAGTTTTGATTGGAAATAGTTGGATGACCTCCATCTGAAAAGCATATTAGATGTATTCTGTATGTGTCTATTTTGGAATATCTTATGTGATCTTATGTGATCTGAGTATTAGTGTACTGAGATGAATATTTGCACATTGTAGGGTTGTTTTTTTCTGTTGGAATGAAAGAGAGTAAGTGCTAACAAAACATAAAGCTGTAATGTATCTGAGGTCCATTGTCCTGTCTGTCATAACCATCATGCTTAAGCCCAAAGTGCAAGTTTCGCTCAGCCCTCAAACCAAAAGCTTTTCTTTTTAATCACACAAAAAGGCTAAGTTCTTTTTGCACTTATGATGGGGTAAGGAAACACCAGGCAATGTGACACTGCTAAGCTGAATTAACCAAATGGACCAATCTTGGGGTAGCCTGTCAGGGAGAGTATATATATACACAGAAAGAGTCTTGGTACGTATGAGCTATGGAGATGAAAGATGGATTGTTCTCCTGTTAGAGAGAACAATATCTGGAAGCATTCACAAAGTGTAATATGTGTCCCTCATCTACTACGGCAGTGAGTCAGTGTGGTTTCACATGGTGAAAATACAACACTCAGTGCTGACCTGTTGTAGTGCCAAGCTCTGGGCAGTGGCTCAGCACTAACACATGCTATTACACCTCATGTCCAGTGCATTTTGGGTATCTGCATAGTGAAGTTTCCCCATAGTCTGCTTTATTGGGGTTTATAAAGCTAGATGTCAGCACAGGCTGACAGCCAAATCAGTCCAAGTTTCCTCATATAGCACTTCCAGGTATTGTTCTCCTGTCACTTTCACATCCATAGCTCACATGTGCCAAGACTCCTCAAACATGTCTTGTTTGCACTGTCTGGTCAGCTGTAGTTCACTATATCTAGTCTACTCCTGACCAAGGCAAGATCTTGATGCTCCTGTGACATCTGATGTTTGAGCCTTTCTGCCATCTGTCAAACATATTTTGTACATCTTTAGTTTGTAACACAGGTGCATGTATAATACAAATAGCTCAAGCTCGTATAAGTGTATCACATGTTGCACACTGAATTACACTATTAGTATGGGGAAAGGACTAAGTCAGCACTAGGTCCTAACATTGTCAACCTTTACAAAAGCAGATTTTTGTTAATAACCTTGTTCTCAAGGAAGTTTCCAGACCACCCAGTTGCGCAAGATACATCTCAGACTTCATATGCTTTTGTCAGATCCTGCAGCTTGTTCTGGTGTTGATGAATGCAACAGTTGTACTCCAGATAGCCTGTGTTCACTAGTCCAAGACACACTGACTGCACTTATGGACCCCTGAAGTGCCACGCTGTTGAAACACCTTCTAGCACTGCTCACCTGCATCCTCCACCAAGAGGGATAGGCTTACGTCAGGGAAAAGCGTTACCGGTAGACAGAGTTAACAAGAGACCTGTTGCAGTTACCAGGCTAGTGAGTCAGCAGAGCATAGCCAGAGGGAACAACACACTTGCTTCAATGTCAGGCTCTGCATAGCAGCCCAGTATTTACACTTAACAGTTCCACCTTACACCCTCTGCTTCCATGCAGTATCAGACACCTGCTTAACACCATCTTCTCTCTTACCCCACTCTCTGTTACTCTGGGTTTTTAATAGCCAGATGTCAGCACAGGCTACCAACCAAATTAGTCTACAGCAGTATATATCCTTGTAGTTTTCCAGCAGTTTCAGGTGTAGGTCTCCTGGTCACTGCTGATCCACTGCCCATACCAAGGCTTGTCATACTCAACTGTTCATGGCAGCACCACTCTATCAACCAAAATTTATTACATCAAGTTATTAAACTTTTGATCAAGACAAGATCTTGATGCTCCTGAGACATCATTTAAAATTGAATATGGATCATTTTTTCCAGTGACAGTGTTGATCCAAATGGCTTTGGCATTTTTTCACATTAGAATAGAGCATCCAAACCAGCAGTAATCTAAGTATTTTTTATTTTGGAAGAATATGTAAGAATAAAGTTGAACACTAATCTCTGTTCAGATTCAGTCTGTAAAAGAATGTGACAGAAACAATGCCCAGTATGAGTTATTAGGCATCTGTAGGTATGGCAATCTCTCCCAATTACTATTCTTTCCCAGAAAGCTTGGGGCTGTGGTCTAGAAGTCAAGTTAATTGTTGTCTTTTATCTTCAGGCAGTGATTGTGTAGTTAGTTCTTTCAGGATGGGTATTTCTTCTGTGCTCACGTCCTTACCCTGCAGCCTTAAGTGGAGGTGATCCAAGACAAGAAAAATTATTCAGTTGCTAGTTCATTCTTCAGGTTTTCTGCTTTGCTATTTCAGCCATGCAGAGACTAATCTATCTATTGATGAGGGAATTATTATAGCCCATATTTTGTTCTTGAGAACAATTTTACCATTTCCTTCTACCAAAGAAGAAAAACCTCATGTCACCGAATACACACACTATGCCTTTGCTGGCAGGAGAGATACAGTGTGTAAGCCACATAGTGGACAACTCAAGGCAGCAGTACATGCTCATTAGACCGCAGAGGCCTCCAGGAAGGCAGGATAAAACTATCTTCAGTATTCTGCATTGAAAGGGTACTCCTTGTGATTTTTGCACCTGAAGGAAATCAAAGAGAAATGATTACTCTCAAGGCTGAAATAAATGCTATAGAGCTAAAGTGGGTGTACTTCAGAGCCTTCACGGGAGGCTCTGAATTATGTAACTGCAGAATGAACTTAAGGAGATGGCATACATGACTAATAAGTTCAAGTCTGTTCCTATTATTCAGGCACTGAACAGTGCTGGGACCAAATTACTGCCTAGATAAAAAGTTCACACTGCTTACAGGGTAAAGCGCCATTTCTGTGGCTTTTCAGCCAAGACTTCTTGTCTTGCTATAGGCTTCCAAGGTGCTATCTGCAAGCAGTTGTTCTTCATACTGCACTATAGATGGTCATTACCTCCCCCAACCACCTATATAAGAGCTGACATCAGTTTACAATATGCACAGAAAAAAAATGACTGTAAGTTTAAAACTGGCTAAAGCTCATTTCCCCAATACAGAAAATCTCAAATTATCAACTAGAACCCTCCTTTGGGAATTCCAGGCACAATGTTTCCTGGAGAAAGAATTACAATTAATACATAGTATGCCTTATCCTTTAGCCAATAAAGGGAAAAATATAAAGCCACCAAGGGTTAAATAACTGATTCTCAATCCTCCAAATGATTCCAGATTTCAAAATATACCCAATTTAAACAGCTATACCTGTACCTGTGAGATCAGAGTAAAGATTATTCAAAATATAAGAGCTTGAAAGAAACAAGCTGTGTCACTTACATGTTCATTTCACAGATCCTCCAGTTCCTGTTTAGGCTGAGAAGGGTTGCCATCTCCTCTTTAGTCAATTCAAAGTCAAACACCTAAGAAGTGGAACACCTGGAAGTCACCTCTTTGAACAAATGAGGCAAGCTTCACAAGATTAAAGAACAAGTGACATCAGAAGGGGTGCTGTTTAGAAATGATGGCTTCATGAGGCAGGAAAAGGAAAATGTTGTACCTTTAGACTTTTTGAGACTCCACTGGCAAAGAGAAATAAAGAGACTTCTAGTTGCAGTTACATGTGCTAGCTGTTCCAAGATGTTTGGTAAGCACCTTGGTGTTGCCTCTATTCGTGGCAGACTCATTTCTCCCCAGTTTCAAAGAAACATCTGGAAGACTTCCATATTTCAGTAAATCCAGCTATGTTACTTCTGAAATATTCATGTCAGGAAAAAACCCGGCATAACAGTCAAAGGGGCAATGTGTTTTATCGACACCAGGACCCTTCCCTTAACATTGCTTAGTCTGTATTTTGAGAAACGTTACTGCACTTGGGCTCCAAACAAGCACTGCCTGCCATTTCATCCACAAGTCACAGGAGACA